AAAAAACAAAAGAGGAGGAAACGTTAGGGAACAACAGAAACACCCTGCTTCCAGAACACCTCGGATCTATGAACTCTGAAGGAATGGCTGCAGGGAAAATGGCGAACGTGCCTGACCTCCTGCTCCTGCTTGAAAACGACAGGAGGCTATTGAGTTTGAAAATGTGCTTTGGGAAAATGGCGAGAACAACTGCTTTCACGACTCCTGTTCGAAAACAACAGGAAGTCAATTAGATGGGTTTGTGATCTGATAAATGTTTTCCAAATTCCAAGAAGTTCTTTTCAGCCTCTGATGTCACTTAGCAATACCTCCCCTAACCGATTCCAAAATCAATATGTTCCAGGAAATCACCTGATTTTTTTATTTTCTTTTTTTAATTTATTTTTAAAAATTTATTATTATTATTATTATTTATACATTCATTTGCTATACATTGCTGGGACGAACTCAGCATGAACATGTATTTTTGAGTGGGGAAGGCTGTAGATTAGAAATAGATGCAATAATAAACACACAAAGACACACAAGTATAGAAAAGTGAGGATTGGGTGGGCACAGCTTCTCTGATGAAGTTGGACTAGAACTAGCCTCAGGTTTATTTTTTTAAAGGGCAGAAAATGGGGGAAGGGGAAAATAGGATGCAAAGGGAATGGGGAAGAAGGAAGTGGAATGAAAGAGAATAGGGGAGGAGAAATTGGAATGCAAAGCCAGTTGATTTTGGATGTAAATTGTTTGAAGATGTGAAAATGACTGGCACCATATAATTTTTTTTAATCTTTTTGGGGGGGGGGACAATTTAATAAATGCATGTGACTTCCTTTAGCCTTTGGGTCATCAGTAAAGTCACGATGCATTTTTAGCATAGAAAAATATGTCATGACTATTCCAACGACCCAATACATCCTGGTAGAGAAAATAAGGCCTTTATAGAAATATTAAAAATAAGAGAAGAAGGCCTAGCCATGGTGGTGCTGGTGGTAGCACGTCGTATACTGGGCAGTATCTGGGTATTGGGTATCGACAACAGAAGCTAATCATTGGCAGCAGGCAGATACTGCTTTCCTCCGTAGATGCTTCTCAATAGCCCTGCTGCACGTGTCTACAAGCCACATGTTTTAATCACATGTTTCCAGATCGACTGCTCTCCACAATACATCATTTAGAGTGTAAAGAGACTTTACCCAGCAGGGGGGCCAGCAGGTGGCGTGGTGGTTAAGGTGCTGGACACTCCACATGGCTGACCATAGTTCAAGTCCCAGACCTGGTGGCTTGCTTTCTCGCTCCCCTCTCTCCCCGTCTCTCTCTCTCTCTCTGTGTATGTGTGTGTGTGTATGTGTGTGTCTCTGATCAAATTAAAATAAATGAATGAATAATAAAATTAAATAAATAATTCTTTAAAAGGGGGGGGGGGCTTTACCCAGCACAATATACATCTCAGTCCAGTTGAGAATACTATACACATCCTCATCAACAGATAGTAAACCAGATCTGCATTCCACAAATATCTTACCTCTCCTTTTTTTTCCCCAAATTTCCATATTTTCTGATTTTCTAAAGAATAACTCTCTTTCCTCCTTTACCTTAATAAATATAGAAGACGAGGGAGGCTTAGCAGGCATATACCTGGTGTGGCCTCTCCCTCCCCCTCTCAACCCAGATCTCTGTTTCTCGAGTAGTTATTCCATGCATTTCGGGTGACTCTGCCAGGGAGAAGAGTCACAAGTCACAGACGGAAGGATTAGTGTGGAAATGTGGGTGTACAGGTGCTTGAATACCGTAAACACTTGGACAAAGCCAAGCAGCTTGGGCTGTTAAGTAGCAAAGGCTCCACATAGGAAAGAACAAGCGATGAGTTGTCAGGGTTTAGTGGTCCCAGTTGAGAAAAGACTTAAATGTGGGACCAGCAGTTAGCATAATGGCTATGTTGCTGGACTCCCATGTAGTCGACCATAGTTCAAGTCCTGGACCCGGTGGCTTAAAACACGCCAGGTGCGTATGCATGCGTGCCCAAGATCCCAAGAGGAGAAGGGATTGCGGGATGGCCATCCCCCCCTTGGGGGGTGATTTCTTGCTTTCTGTCTCTCTGTCTGTCTCTGTCTGTCTGGTGAATGCATGCGCCCTATGGCAAAAACCTCTCCAAAAAAAAAAAAAAAAAAAAACATTTAAATGGG